AGTTAAATATGTGTGTGTGTGCGTCTAGCATCTAAATGACAGAACCTACCTTGATGATGAAAGAGAACTCAATAAGGCCACATCAGTTCCGTACAAGCTGGGTGATACGCTTTGCTGACAAACACAAAAATTCCTATATGCAAAGCTACCTCTCGATAGCTTTCAACCATCCTAACACTAAGTATTATGTGACTGATACAATTGGTAGCCTGTTTTCTTGAGGAGGGGGAGGGAGCGGTGCTCAGGATGCTAAGAACTGATGGATACAGATTGTTGACTGGTATTGGCTCAAAATCATTGTGAATGGTGCAAATGCATTCACTTTTTCTGTAATCTCTCAGATTATTTATATCCTCATGTTATTCCACATTACTATCCCGTCTGTTGTACATTTCAGCCGATTATATTTCTAGCTACATGGAGTGTGGTAACGTGAACGGCTACCCTACGGTGATGAAACTAAGCTCAATCAGAATTGACACCAATCTGTTATTATACGTGAGACCTATGTGATAAATAAAATATATGAAGTATTTTGATTGGACACTAGTAACTAGTGTGAAGACTGAATTCTATCAGTCAGGTTGGCACTGTGGCCACCATTCTAGGCGTAGCTTGCCATCAAGGTGCACATTGATTTGATGCTATTAGATAGTTGAAGGCAATCGGCCGGAAATCTTGGACATAGGTTTCGTGCTAGTTGGCACTCACCAAACAGGAAGGCGAATCTGCAACTAGTGTCCAATCAAAGTACCCACCACAGTCCTACAGGAGGTTAATCGAGAGTGTGAATTGCTCAGTGGTAGCACTGGGTGACACGGATTCGGATCTCAGAAGGGACATGAGTTCCATTGAGGTTGCAGATACGCCTTGCCTTTTTCTATTTCAGCTTCATTTTACATTATTTTTGGTACAGGTATGGAATTTTCAGATACTAGCTTGCTAGGCTACTAGCTTACTAGTTTTCTAGCCGGTCCCAAGCCCGGGTAAAGAGGGAGGGTTGGGGCGTGGTGCTAGCAACTCCACCCCTGTAAAACAACCAAATCGCTACAGAAACTTCAACGAATAAATATATTAAAAATTCTAAAAACATAAGCAATAGCCTTACTTTTCGCTGGAATCGGGGAAGTGAAATGACGCAGGCTGGTGAAAGCCTTCGGGAAGCCAGTCAGCCGATGTGCCTTCTTTCGATGAAAGCAAAAGTAAGGATGGGTACCTGGAATGTTCGTACAATGTACGAAACTGGAAAGGCTGCCCAGATAGCCGCTGAAATGAGAATATACAGAATAGAAGTGTTGGGAATCTGCGAAAGCAGATGGAACGGAACTGGAAGGTGCCAACTACCTACTGGAGAGACAGTAATCTTCTCCGGCCACCCAGAGGACAACCACGAGCACACCGAGGGAGTGGCCATCATGATGTCACCAACAGCAACCAAAGCTCTCATGCAGTGGGAACCAATCTCCTCCAGGATAATGACAGCCAGGTTCAACTCAAAAGGAAGGAAAGTTACAGTCATTCAATGCTATGCGCCTACAAACGTCTCAGAACAAGAGAAGAAGGAGGCGTTCTACAGACAACTACAAGCAATAATGGACAACGTCCCAAATGGCGATATCAAAATCCTGATGGGCGACATGAATGCGAAGCTGGGAGGAGACAACACAGGAAGAGAACTCACCATGGGTCGTGAGGCCCTCGGTGAAATGAACGACAATGGTGAACTCTTCTCAGACTTCTGCGCCTTCAATGATTTGGTGATTGGTGGTAGTGTGTTCAAACACAAGGATATACACAAGACGACATGGATTTCACCAGATGGAAACACCAAGAACCAAATAGACTTCATCTCAATTTCAAGAAAGTGGAGACGGAGCCTACTGGACACAAGGTCAAGGAGAGGAGCAGATGTGGGTTCAGACCACTATCTAGTACAAGGGACTTTCAAGGTGAAACTAAAAGCCTCGAGGATAGCTGGGGATAGGCCACAATGCAAGTTCAACACTCAAACTGAAGGACACAACCACAAAAGACACTTTCACTGCAACTGTCAGAGCAAAGCAGGAAACACTACGCGACATCACTGAAGAATCATGCGTGGAAGAACATTGGAAGTCTCTGAAGGCGATTCTCAACGAAACGTGTTCAACGGTTCTAGGAAGAAAGAAGAGACAAGACAAGGAATGGCTCTCAACGGACACTTGGAAATTAATAGAAGAGAGGAGAATGGTGAAAGAGAAAATGATTCAATGCAAGGACGGACAGGAGAAGGAGACGATGAGCTCAACTTACAAAGCACTGGACAAAGAAGTGAAGAAGAGTGCTAGGAAGGACAAAAGACGATTCTACGACAATCTAGCTACTGAAGCTGAAAGGCAGCAGGCAAAAGGGACCTGAGGACACTATATCAGATAACCAAATCTCTATCCGGGAAGAGATCAACACAAGCGAAACCTATAAAAGACAGCCAAGGGAACCCAATTACCAAGGAAGAAAAACAGATTAAACAATGGGCGGATCACTTCAAAGGACTCTTGAACCGACCATCACCTGCAACCCGTCCAGAAATACCAACAACAGCGCGCACACAACTGCAAGTTGACACCAATCCTCCAACGAGAGCTGAAGTCTTGAATGCAATCAAACTTCTGAAAGCTGGAAAAACAGCCGGACCAGATGGAATACCCCCTGAAGCACTGAAAGCAGACCCAGAGACGACAGCAGACATGCTGACTCCATTATTGCAAAAGGTCTGGAAGGAGGGAAAGGTGCCTACTGACTGGAGGAAAGGTTACCTCGTGAAACTACCAAAGAAGGGCGACTTACGCCTCACTCTGCAAGAACTGGCGAGGAATCATGCTCCTATCGACGCCAAGTAAAATCCTGAGTCGCATCATCCTGGAGAGATTAAAGGACGCACTGGAGACAGAACTCCGACCAGAACAAGCTGGATTCAGGAAAGGCAAATCATGTACTGACCAAATTGCAACTCTACGCATCATCATCACAGAACAAAGCATGGAATGGCAATCAAACCTCTACCTCAACTTTATAGACTTTGAGAAGGCCTTCGACAGCGTTGACCGTGAAGTAATTTGGAAATTACTCGAGTACTATGGCGTACCCCAAATATTCATCAACCTTATTCAACAGCTGTACGACAACGGCACATGTCAAGTGATCCACAACGGAAAACTCAGCGAGGCGTTTGGAGTAAACACAGGAGTCAGACAAGGGTGCTTACTATCACCAATGATATTCCTAATTGTGGTGGACTGATGGATTATGCGTCAGACTGTGGGAAACGAGAAGACAGGAATATCCTGGACCGACGTGAAGAACCTAGAAGACCTGGATTTCGCCGTGGATGATTTATGTTTGATGTCACACACAATCGAAGACTTACAAGCGAAAACCGACAAACTGGTCGAAGAAGCAGCCGGAGAAGACAGGACTCCAGGTAAACATAGACAAGACGGAGGTTATGAAAATAACCAACCAACAACAGCAGCACAACATCCAACGTCAATCACCATCAACGGGAGGGATTTGAAAGAGGTTACTTCATTCACTCACTTATCTAGGGAGCATTGTCTCAACTACAGGAGGGGCGGACGAGGATGTCAAATCGAGGAGAATCGGGAAGGCGAGAAACACATTCATCAACCTGAAATCAATCTGGAAATCTTCGTCACTCAGCATCAACAACAAAATTCGGATTTTCAATACAAACGTAAAGTCAGTCAGTTCTTCTATACGGATCAGAAACTTGGCGGGTGGGTCACAAAGAATATTTCCAACAGCTGTTGCAGACCTTTATTAACAACTGTCTTCGCTCTATACTGAAGATCAGATGGCCGGAAAGAATCACCAACAAGGAATTATGGGAACAAACAAAGCAAGAACCAATCGCCCAACAAATATGCAGGAGAAAGTGGAGATGGATCGGACACTCGCTGAGGAGACCGCTGGGTGACATCGCGCGTCAGGCCATTCGAGTGGAACCCGAAAGGGAAGCGGCGTGTGGGACGTCAGTGCAAGGGTGACATGGAGGAGATCGTGTGAAGAGGAGTTGAAAGAATATGGACTAACATGGATGCAGGCGAAAAGTACAGCAGAAGAGAGAAGCAAATGGAGACGTGCAGTTGAAGCCCTATGTTCCACTAGGAACCCAAGGGAGCAATAATAATAATAATAAATGGAATTTTCGGCATGTGGTACGGCTAGCCCAAATTTTGCAGGCCGTCCATAGATATCAGGTGTGCGTTGGCAGGGGATCGAACCCCGGACCATTTGCATGGTCGGCGAGAGTCCTAATCACTGTGCCACCGACTGGTGAGTGCCAACTAGCACGAAACCTAGGTCCAAGGTTTCCTGCCGATTGCCTCCAACCATCTAATATCATATGAAGTATTTGTTGAAATTATTACTGAATTACCCGTTAATGCATTCTGCTGGATAAAAGAGCTCGGTCTGCGTTGGTACATCAGCCTTAGAGTACGGAGACTTCAATGATGGGCATGTCTTAATCAACCAAATTAACAAAAGCATAACCACTTGGCAGTAACCATTGTCATGTCTTTGAGGCTCAAGCATAATATTCATTATTATTTTAGCATTTAAATCTGAAATGTGATCATAATGCAGTGCAGTTTGAATTGTTAGTCAGTTAGTTATACTAGACACATGACACCGACTACTCACCCTAGTGACAAAATTATTTTATTCGTGAGTCTGAATAGTTCAGTGCCACAGTCTTTAACTGAAGCATCGGTTCATATGAATTCGAATCTACAAGGGGAAATCATTTATGCCAAGGTTTCATATACGTCTTGTTGGGGAGTGTGAAGATAAATAAGGAACCCTTGATACACAGCCTCCCACCGATTGTCTCTCACTCACTACACCCATATTCACTCAGTCAGTCAACATACAGGATACAGAAGAGATAGACAGATTCAAGCAAAATTATAAACAGTCTAAAAACACTTCACACTTACTTTTGCTTCAATGTCTGCACATTTCTGCTCCAATTGTTTTAACTCCATAGTTAATTCACGCTCTCTAGCTTGAAATGCTGTACGTGATTCAAGTAGTTCTGTGACACGTTTATCTAACCGATCAGCTCTACGATCGGATAGTTCTTGTTGTGCGGTTAAATCAGTAATCTGATTGATTAGAAAACAAGTAATAATAATAATAATAGTAATAATAACAAAATCAAAGTTAATAAAACAACTTTTTTTTGTATTTCTTCGCGTTCCTAATGGAACATTGCACTTCAGGCTTTAAGCCTTGCAGTTTCAATAGCCACGGTGTTGTTTTCATGCGGCAAGGTTGCTAGCCTCATACCCAACCTTCCTTCTTTCTCACACACTGACTATCGAGTAGTGAACTGCGTGAGGTGGTCGAGAATCAAATGAGAAATCACATACATGGTTGGCAACCACTCTATTATTAGACTAGCCACAAAACCTCCAAATAAACTGATATCAGAATACAGATCACACTACTACTCACCACTACATGCATTATGAATCCTTTATTTTCACAGTTGATAAACTGCAATGGATCACAGAAAATTAAGGGGACCTCAACGACTGTTTAGTTTAAGTTTTAGACTCTTCAGCAATGCACATCCAGGGACTTTCACGAGTGACGAGGGCAGCCTACTGACCATTTAACCACTGGGTTGGTTTCTAGTGACCTATGAACTCTAACTTCTGTCAATTCGTGACACAGTGGATCGAAAACTAGGATAAGGCAGCTTCCCAGGTGGTCCCTGATTCCTAATAATTCCCTAACTGATTTTGATTTGTGACAAAATCTATGCTGAAATTAATCAGAATCCCAGTGGTTGAACAGTCAACGAGCTGGCAACTTAACGTGAAGATTCTATCCAAAAAAGAGGGATCATCGACCAAGGTTAATCGACTCAAGGTTAGTCGACGGCTGAAACATTCATATCAGTAGATATAAGGTTGTATACTTTAATTTCCTTTTTGACATCACACACTATGAGTTCGCGACCCATTTCACATCTCTTAGACATATATCACCACACTCGTCTTATTTCTAACTTACTGCACTCACATTTCCGAAAGTACTTTATCTTTCCATTAACTGCTTCAAGCATGTCTACTGAATTTCATATTGAACTTTATTTATTTATTCATATGTCTAATCAATTTGTTACTCAAGTATATAAAGTTATAAAGTTGTTTGAGTACCTTGATATGATTATGAGCAAATTTATCAAATATATTTTCCTATGATGGAATTATGTTCTATCACAGTACCCACGTTCTATTCTTATATCATATATTATGAAGACAAAGTATAACTTATACAGGGACAATGGAAACCAGTCAGAGACATAGAGAAATGAGTGTGAGGTCGACTATATGAGTCAATCAAATAGATAGAGGTCATTTAGGTTTTCAAAACATTGGAATTGAGCTAAGTGTAGAATGATTGACCTCAAAAAGATGACCATCTTATAAAACACTCTGCACACACCTTCTGCAATGCATGTATTTACATATGATATAATAATATAACATATAATTACGATGATATGATTACCAGTAATAAATTGTGGTCAAAATGTCATTAGCAGTTAAATAATATGGCGTCAGTGTTTTTATGAAATAAAACTCTGTTGTAAAAGTCCCCACCATTAAATGCGTATCGTCTCGAGAACCAAAGTCAGACGGGCAGTCTACATCTCGTATGGCTCAAAACAAGAGTCAAAGATTTCATGAATTAATGCCATGTTTTAGCTTGTCCACCATGCCCTACTGTTTTCTAACGCAATCCTGTATCAGCTAACAGAACGAGACGATGAAGCCGATGACTTCGTGTGCGTAACACATGTCTTCATAGCCATTGCTTAATTGACATGGCACCACAGCTAACTATTCACTAACTGATTCTGCATCATTTCGATTCCCTCGCTTTCCGAATGGAACATACCGGCTTCAAGTTCTTAAATTTCACTAGAATTGGTGATTTTTTAGCGGGGTGGTGAAGCTATCAGCGTTATGCTCAACCTTTTATCTCATTCAGGTTCGCTACTGACCAACTTACGTTTGCGAGCACCAATTAATCATCGATGCACTTGAGAGATGATTTCGTATGGGATGCAGAATTGATAAAATCAAGCAAACCAGCCTTTACAAAACTTTGAAATAAAGTTAACAATGGCGTAATCATATGAAATAATACTAATAGCAATACCTTTTGTTTTAAACTACTGATTTGATTGATGAATCGTGTCTCCAGTATTCGATCGGAGAATTTCATTTTATTATTCATTTCTGATGCATCCAGAGAATTCAGTGAACCAATCCATAAAGATGCACGTTTAGTGTCATTGTTGACGCCTTTACACTTGCCAAGATGCATCTAAATGTGCATGTGTGTAAAGAACAGAAGCATTAAAATAATAACATAAGGCCAAAAACGGTGTAAAACGGAACCTTAAGTAGAATATTGAAAGTAGAAACAGGCAGTGTTATGACTATCAGCAGATGTGAATCCAAGATATGGGTTTGAAATCTACTTCAGAGCGTCACATAAAGTTGTCTCTAGTTTTGAATGAGGTGTTATATAAGCTCAGTGTGCCTTCCTTTTATTACAGATCAGCCTTTGACCCTGTACCCAGGCCTGTTTTGTTAAACAAGCTTATTGTGACAGAAGTAAGTTGCTGGACTATTAAGTGGTTGTGTCCTTACTTTTCTGATAGCAAACAGTACATTGTTTACGATGGGAAGTCCTCCACTGGTTTTCTTACTCTAGCTGGTGTTCCTTAAAACGCTGTTCTTTCTCGTTTTCTGCTTTCTCATATGTCTTGCCTAGCCCAGTCTGATGAAGCCAATTTTGTAAAGTATGTTGATGATCTGACTGTTTCTATGTCCGTTACTACTATGTCAGATTGTTCCAAAATTAATAACTTTTTTTTAGAAATTAGTCCTTGTTCCTTGTCAAATGAGTTTAAGATAGATCCCTCTAAACGTCAGGTTGTAAATTTCCCTTTCAGACATAAGCACGATCTACTTGAAGTGGTTCGTTTGCATGACTCTCCTACCAAATCTGTTCTGTTCTGTTTTCGACATAGAACTTTGCACAAATGTGCGGAAGTTCAAGTAGCCACATTCCGTGTAGCACGCGAAGCAAGAGAAGAAAGTACAAGACAAGCATAATAGAAACAGTGAGCAGAGGTGTGAGACAAAGGAGTAATAAAGAAATACAAAACAGTTTCATTGAAGAGTATTAGTCACAGGGAGTGGATGCATCTGCGCCATTGAGAACGATTTTGAGCCATGTCACCAATTGTTTCCAACCATTGATTTTTACCCTCCGAGGAATTTTTTTTTGAAAACTTAGTTGGTCAGGTGGTTCCAGCCTGATTAATATTTTTCGTAGGGCGTTTAAGTGTCTTAAACTGATTTTCTCGATCCATTTTAGGCTCATTTTGTATAGTTTCAAAAGACTTATAAACATCAATTTTACTTCCTCTCTCTATAATGTGTTGCTCAATAGACGAGCTAGGTTGTCTGTTCTCACCAATAATGGTCCTTCAACAGGACGGTATCTTTTAATTGTTGCAGCTTCTACCCTGTTCTGCCTGTCTGTCTGTTTTCCACATAGAACTTTGCACAAATGTGCGGAAGTTCAAGTAGCCACATTCCGTGTAGCACGCGAATCAAGAGAAGAAAGTACAAGAAAAGCATAATAGAAACAGTGATCAGAGGTGTGAGACAAAGGAGTAATAAAGAAAAACAAAACAGTTTCATTGAAGATCATAAGTCACAGGGAGTGGATGCATCTGCGCCACTGAGAACGGTTTTGAGCCATGTCACCAATTGTTTCCAACCATAGATTTTTACCGTCCCGAGGACCCCAGCCTGGAAGTCTACACCTTCCTACGTGGCTTAGACCAACTGTTGTGGATTTCATTGACTGGTGCCAAGTTTTTGTTTGACCGCCGCTAGCTTTTTTCCAGCCTGACCCAACATCCGCTAACATTGATCGTCGAGGGAGGCGATGGCTTGGCATATGTAACACATGCCCTAACCATCTCAGTCTTTGTAGCTTCACGACTTCGTCGATTGATTTCCCTGTTTACCTAGAACTCTACACCTAACCTCCATGTTGCTCACCTTATTATGCCACTTTACACGGGAAATAGAACGCAGGCACCTATGATCAAAGACAGCTAGTCTTTTCATGTCTTCCACTCTCAGTGGTCAGGTCTCACAACCATAAAGGAGGACGGAGCGGACTGATGAGCAGTACACCCGCCCTTTGGTCGATAGTCGAACATCTCGTCTACGCCAGAGTCGGCGTAAACTGGCAAATACGAAACGAGCCCCTTGTATTCGTTCTGAGATTTCGTCAGAGATCAACCCGTTGGCACTGGCTGATGGTACTTTCCCAATAAGTGAAGCGGTCAACGTGCTCTACCACTTCACTTCCTATTTTTAAACTGGGCGTCGATGTAGTCCAGTCCTGTAACATCATCTTGCATTTGGCGGGAGAGAATCGCATGCCAAACATTCGTAGATTGCGGCTCAAGGTGTTTAGAAGACTTTGCATTTCGTCAGCGTCTTCGCCTAGAAGGACTATATCGTCTGCATATTCCAAGTCAACGAGATTATTCCCCGGTAGCAAGTCAATCCCTGAGTCACTGAAGTCACCTATGGTTAAGTCCATTAACCAAATACGGCACTGAAGTTGAAATAAAATCGATTGTTAAATGCCTTGGATTGTGTATTTCCTCAGATCACCTTTCCTGGTCCTCCCACATCATTTTAATTACTAGAAAGATATTTCGTTTAAGATTCTACTCTTACAGTTTGTTAATTTTTGTATTCTGCCTATCCTCCTCTATTGCTTCGCCTTAATTTCTCCCGTGCTACTTAGAAACGGCTTTGTTCTACTGCGAAGGGCGCTAAAGGCGTGAATGAGGTGCCGCTGAACACTTGGACTCATGCAAGAAATTGGCGAACTTCATATTGTCGGATTCTCAGAGTGCTGTCTATACACAACTTTGTCTTTGCATTTCATCAGGTAGGACGACTTAGAAGCAACTACGGAAGAAAGTTTAAACCGAGACATTACTAACTTACGGAGATACATTATGTTAAAAAAACCCGGTTTATCCCCTCTTTCATCATATGAATTGATAATGATTATGAGCAGCAATAAAATGTGTTTGAAACGACATCAGTAAATATTACTGTATAACACTGTGTGACTTAATTAGAATTAAAAAATTTTTATCCACAATGGAATTATAATATTATTGTTAATACTTTCCCTCAGATTTTGATTTTATATTTATATTCTTATTTAACAGTATTACCAGTGGAAATACCTTGCTAAATTATTACTCGTGTATTATGTATCGAGAAAATTAGATGTAATATTGCATGCATGCCGAGAATTCCATATTTGTATCAAAAGTACCGCTGTTTGGAATAAAGTTATCAATATTATTATTATTATTACTATTATGTCAGTTGGTCGTCAGTTCGAACGAGTCTTCAAGTCATCACAATCTCCACTTCAATTCTAACTGCAAAGTGCAGCTGGAGCAACAAACAACATCCAAAGTTTTAACACTTGCATCAAGTCGGTCAGTTAATTATATACACCTAAGACAGTCGGTTGTCTTTCAAGTCACCAATAAGCATTTCCAACAACCTGCTACAGACTTTGATCAAAAGCTGCTTTCCGTGACTGAAAATTCCAGATTGAATAAATTTTAAGCAAAATTATCTGCTGACCTGTCAGTGAAGTAATCAATAATAATACAAGTTGAGAAAACCTTTACAAAAAGAAACCAGTCACGTTCTAAGTTGTTAGAAGAGATTTTACTGAAATTGAGATTTTCCCGTCGATTGATTGGACCGAAGTGCTCTGTTCGAGCTGGGTTCGAGCCTCGGTGGGAACATCATCACTCACTGAGAAATGCAGGTACATCCAGATGAAGAGTCCCAAACAGGACGAAATGCGCACCCTGGATTCCACTGCTAGTCACCATCCACCAATTAAATATCAGAAGAGATGTTTACTTAATATTATTATTGCTCCCTTGGGATCCTAGTGGAATATAGGGCTTCAACTGCACGTCTCCATTTGCTTCTGTCTTCTGCTGTACTTTTCGCCTGCATCCATGTTAGTCCATACTCTTTCAACTCTTCACACGATCTCCTCCATGTCACCCTTGCACTGACGTCCTACTCGCCGCGTGCTTCCCTTTAGGCCTGATTCCACTCGAGCAATGGCCTGACGCGCGATGTCACCAACCGGCCTCCTCAGCGAGTGTCCAATCAATCTCCACTTAACTCATAAAAGCTCACTTCATAATGAATTCAGTGATGAAGTTTTGTTATCTAGACAGACAATGAAATCTCCTCAGGTGAATCCCATCCAGGTCAGAGAATACGGCACCAATAATATGTCTCAGTGTTAAGCATTGCTCTTCAAACAAAGCGGTTGGTTAACCACAGTGTCAGAAAGAACATTAAAAAAGAAGAAAGAATGAAATAAAAACCACAATAAAAAGGTTATAAGAATTGCTTACCTGCCAAAGTGAATCTAAATCATCAAAACGTCTTTTAAACTCTTCAATCTGATTGACTAATTCTGTTTCTCTAAGTTTTGCTCCGAATAATTCATCTTTCAAGACAGCGATTTGTTCAGCTGCACGAAGTGATTGATCTGTTTTCGACTAGATATTTTAGAAGGGGAATCAGAAAGGCAAAAGTGAAAACAATACAACAGGCTAACACAACACACAAGTGGTACATCAACAGTGTGACAGTGATGCGTGGACCAGTTTTAAAGAGAAATACATACCCAAGCTACTCACTATAGACGGATATTAACCACTACCATATAAAACAATTTGAAATTGAAAAATGACAGTCTATACTACTTATTAACATGAGTAGTTGCCAACTACCTGTGCTACTTAGTACTAGTAGCCAACCAGATTGACGTGATCTAGACACCACATGGATGTACTATATAAATTGTGAATTTGAAACTGATTATCAATTAACCATTTCGAGGATTTTGTAACCACTTGATTTCACCACAGATCAGCGTAGTTCTTCCATCCGCAAGGATAGTCGACAATCAATACAGCGAGGAATGCTACTCATAATCACAAAAGCACACAACAGAAGTATTCTAAAAATATTCTAAACATCTAAAGGAATCACACCGAAATAACACTATGTAAACACTGCCTACCTCTTCCAATTCATGCAGTTTACATCGTAATTCATGCGAAACTTTTTTAGCATCCGCTTCATTGAAACGTGAATTAACCAAGTCAGTTTGCAACTGATTGATTGTTGTTGATAAGAGTTGATCGGTTTTCGCTTCACCATTATACTTCCCTGTTCCATTATTATTATTGGCTTTATTATTGTTATTATTATGTTCACGATTTCTTGATCTTGGAAGTGTACAAAAATCATATGAACTATTCGGTGAATGATTACTATCTATTGTGAAATTGACTTTAGAATAATAATTTGGTGATTCTGAATTCATAGGATAACCGTTTGTTATTGTTTGTTGCTGCACACTGTTGTCCTGAGGATTGTTACCATTGGTTAGTTTTGTGTTAGTTGTATTATTTGATGAATCATCAGTGACAGTGGTGTCGGCAGTATCAGTGGTGGGAACTGTTTTCGCGGCTGAACCCTCCATTGTCGTTGTTGTTGTTGTTGTTGTTATTGATGTGGTAGTAGCAGTAGTCTCCTGTGTACCATTTTGCATCATTCGATGATTCGATATCAAATTTATGTCGTCTTCAGCTTCACTGTTCAGTACCTCATTTGTATTCTGTGATGGGATAATCACTGGTGGATTCAGAAGAGAATATTCTCGTCTTAGGATAGCTAATTCACAACGTAGAGCTATAGCAGCTTCAGCTTCTTGAGCACGTATTAACTGACACTTTACAAGATGATCAGCCATTACAGCACTTTCCTTCAAAGAAAAACAGATAAAAATAAATAAATAAAATGAGAGACTACGTCACTATTAAGAATAAACAAGACAAGTGAACTGAACAGATTTGCACATATTTAGGTGTGATTCAAAAAGCACGAAGAATGATGAGTCTCGTACCTTTATGACCAACACCACAGCAGACTTCAATGTAGGAGAAATCACTCAAGGCTATCGCCAAAGACACTAAACTTATGACACTGATTGAGGCTATGAATCGCATAATTATTGTGTGACAGCTAATGATACTGCCCATATGCACAGACAGAAGTAGGTGAGGTGGGATTCGAACTTAAGACCTACTAGCTGAAAGTGAGTGTTTAAGCTAATAATTCAATTCTCTACCATCAATGCACAAGATACAGCATTTCCACAAGAGGTCACCTGCCGGTTTGAATAGCTCAGTCGTAACGTCTTTGATTGTATCACTGGCTGACATGAGTTAAAATTTCCAGGGAGATATCAGTTTCTTTGAGTGTTGAGATACGCCCTATTGACTGATGAGTGTCATTACGTACGAAATCCAGCTCTATAGCTACTAACCACCTAACGATGAGTCAGAGTGTACTGCGACGACGAGTCATATGGCTTGGTAACTGCAGTCCAAATTAACTGACTGAACACAATCAGCAGAAACATCGCGGACTAAACACAAATACACATATGACACTAAATATACTAACAATGACTAATCACAATGCAAACATAATTCTGCGTTGAGTTCCTCAGTAAATTTCACTATGAACCGAGACTAATCATAGTGTTGCTGCTGGAACCTCAAGAAGATTACAGCGGTTTGTTTCATAGAAAATTCTGTCTGTCTGTCTGTTTTCAACATAGAACTTTGCGTCGATGTGCAGCAGTTCAAGTCGTCACAATCCCTCCTTGTAGCACACAAAGCAAGAGAAGAAGTAGAAGAAATGCATAATACAGACAGTAAACAGCGTTATGAGACAAAAAGAATAGTAATAACGAAGAACAATATAGTTTCATTGGAAATTATAAGTCACAAGGACTGGATGCATCTGCGCCATGATCGGGAACGACTTTGAGTTATATCACCAATTGTTTCTAGTCATTGGTATTTACCATCCCGAGGACCCCAACCAAGAACTCTACACCTTCCTACATGGCTTAAACTAACTGTTGTGGATTTGATTGGCTGATTCCATATCTCGGTTTGACAACCACTGGCTTTTTCCAACCTCACCAACCCTATGTCAAATAACTGTCAACTAACTGGCTAGGTATGCGTTACACATGTCCTTAACATCTCAATCGGTGTAACCTCACAGCCTCATCTATTGATTTCGCCTCTTTACCTAGCACTCGGAGGGCTAACCTCAACATTGTTCACCCTATTACATAACTTCACACGGGACAGAGAGCTCAGACACCCATGATCGAAAACAGCTAGCTAGCCTTTTCATGTCCTCCACTCTCAATAACCAGGTCTCACAGCCATACAGGAGGACGGAACAAACTGCTGCTGGGCAGTACGCACGTCCTTTGGTCGATAGCCAGTCGGATATCACGTCTACGCTAGAGACGACGTAAACTGGCATGTGTAAAACGAGCTTCCTGTATCCTTGCTGAGATTTCGTCAGCGATCAACTCACTGGCGTTGGCTGATGCAACTTCCCAAATAAGTGAAGTGTTCAAAACGCTCTACCACTTCACTCCTTATTTCTAAGCTAGGAGTCAGAGTAGACCAGTCATGTAAAAAGTAATCTTACATTTGACAGGAGGCAGTCGCACGCCAAACATTCGTAGATTGCAGCTTAAGGTGTTCTGAAAGCTCTGCATTTTGACAGCGTCTTCTCCTACAAGGACTGTATCATCTGCATATTCTAATTCAACGAGACTATTATTTCTTGACGGTAACAAGTCAATCCCTGAGTCTCTGAAGTGAGTTAGCGTTAAACCCATTAGTACATCTATGATAGAATTGAATAGAAATAGGGATAGTGGGCATCGCTGACCGACACCACTAGTTGTACCCACTTCAGGCGACAACTCGCCATAAGCCCTCACCTGGCTGAATGAGTTCGAGTAGAGTGAGTGCCTTGATCAGTGCAATTTATTTTCTCGGCATTCACTTTACAGCCAAGCATCGCCATCATAGAAAATTAGGTCTGCACTATACAAGTGAACCATGAGACTTAAGTAAAACAGCTGATCGCACAATGATTATTAACCCATCGCCCATCTAAACAACGAATCTACATACACTTGTCCATCCGGCTGTAATAATATTTTATGCCATCATGAATTCATAAACATGGTATCATGAAAATTATTTTTAAGAAAAAAATAAATATTTACAAATGAAGGACAAAGGCGACAGTGAATAAAGGCTGCAGTCAGCTGATTGGCTAACTAAGATCTACCAGACAGATAAAGTGTAATGTGTCTCCAGTGGTGTAGCAACCCAGTAGGCCCACTCACTACACATTCGCAGATTAGTAGATTCCAATTGTCTGATATCAGTGACAATCAAGTGGTCATACCAATGTTAATGACTTACTTAGACTATTTCATCGTTAAGGATATATTGATCAGTATTCATTTGCAGGACTAGTTGCAAGTGCGTCTTACTGATTTTGTATGCAGATGAGTGTGTGTGTGTTGTGAGGGTGGGGGGAGGTAGTCCGGTTACATGAACAACAGTGATAATCAGATAGAATACAATAAAATACATAAATTGGTCTAGACACACCTGATAATATCATCGGTCCAGTGCTAATTACATGGCTAATTCATACATTCCAACGCAATGATTTCTTCGGTAATAATGTCTATACGGTCGTAAGAGAGAGATTCAACGAAACGCACTAATAACTGGGTGATGTATTGTTCACAATTTGTCCTTTACAGCCTTATTCCCCCCTCCGTTTTTTATTGCAGCTTTCCATATATCTGGGATAGGTGTTATGCCGTTCTAATTGCATATATTCGGCGTTGACGCGATAGACAAAGACACAGAGAACAGGATCTCTTTCTCTACCTACGCATACTGCCTCTTAATACTTTTACCCTATCCCAGCTTATTATGTACAAGTGAATGCACAGCAACAGCGAAGCATCTTTCTAGACTACTTAACTAAGCGGAATTAATTATTCTAGATCTAGGTATATTTCTGTATTCTGGATAGATAATCTAACCAATCCCTGTCTACTAGTTCGGTCCATTTAATTGAACTGATGGTTGTTATACGGTACTTATTACTTTATCTTTGAGTAAGTTGGTTTCATTAACAATAGCTCAGTTGTACATTCGAATTTATAAAAAATTCAATAAATAAATTTATATTTTTTTACCCAGTGTAGTACACTTAATTCCATGGACAGGGCAGTAGGTCAAACATCAAATCCAAAGATGGACGAGTTGAAATTTTGCTTTATACGTTAACGTCGGCTATTGCATACACAGACAGATAAAAGGGCGATTTCATCCTTTTTAGTACAACCACTATCTTATCCGAGAATCAGGTGCTATTATTCTACATCCGACATATGACTTCAATGCTACATCTTCACGCCACTCCATTTTCTGATATCATTTCAATTGGCCGCGCCGCTACCCCCAAAAGCCTTCATCTCCTCTCCACAACATATTCTTCATGTCGGTCTCATACCCATGTCCAACTCGTCACTTCACATTCCAGTTTGACTAGAGGGTTCGTATGGCGTATGATGTCATTTGAAGGTCTCCTCAGTGTGTATCAAGTACATTTTCATTCCCTTCTGCTTATTTGTTGACTGGTTCACTGCCACAGTTCTTTGTTGATTATCCTTTCTCGTTGACGATCCAATCTTTGTTATTAAGGCAGCGAAGGAGGCCAGTGTAGTAATCTGCGTGGAGATGGTTTCGGTGAAACACATGCCAACTATGTTAATCATATCGAAGTGTTACAAAGTCAGGACTTATTACTTAATTAGTGAACCGTAGATCGCTCACCGATTTCAGATTATCTGGCTTCTCTGATCATAGCTAACTATGGTGTCCCTATCCGTGCCATCCACCTACATCTGAGATGCTGCCTACCACCCTAAGGTAAATGAAATGCAAGACTTCCTTTAGATTTCTTCCGCCCCCTCCACCATCAATGATGATACATATTTTTTATTGGTCGTCAGGCTTCTCTTCATCACCTCTATCCTATCTTGGCTCAAATGAAGTACTGCTGTCTCTGCCCCCTTCCACCAATAGGTTAGTATTATCTTGTACATTTTCCCAGTTTTGTTACTTAGATACACTTTAGGCTATTCTGTTTGAATACATTTTACTCCTAATCTCACAGTGGAATCTCCATCAATTCGCCGGCTGAGTGAATAATCAACTCGTAATTGTACAACGTTATTGAAAGACAGAAAGTTGATAAATATTCGTGAATAACTCCAGTTCTAACCAGTGGTGCATCTTCCTTGCAAGCAATCACAGTAACAAGTTAGGAATCATTCAAAAAACACTTCATTCCTGTCTAATATCATTTGGAAATGTGGATAAAATTGAATTTCTCAACTTCTTTAGTTAAAAAAAACTGTTAATTCCTATTAGCGAAGAAAAACAGGATTAGGCAGGAAAAGAAATCGAAAAACCGTAAATATAAGTCTTACTTCTTCTAAACGCGCCAAACGCTGTAACAATAAACCATTTTCAGTACGAAGACGCTAGAAATTAAATGAAAAGAAAGATTTGAAAAAAAACCAAATATTAACAAATAGAAAATGAATAGATTTCAGCTTTTTAGCAGCTGATAACCATGTGTGACTTTAGGTTTTAAGTAATCAGTTGTAGTATATTTCAAATTCCGAGACTATTATGAAGTAATTTCATTCGGACATTAAACGTGGCCTTGAGCCAATAAGAGTCAGCAATTTCAAAGCTCAACTTAGACAATATCCACAGTTAACTGTCTTCAACACCTGCATGAATATTCGATATTCCAGTGTGGCATAAACAAACTTGTGTGAAAAGCGTGAATTTTTTTCATGTTCTGTAGTTATAACTGCTTACTTGAACTTTGGATCACCAAAGTCCCTACCATCATTAAGCATATGCTACTTGGAATCGATCTTTTACTTTGTTTAAATTAATCAATGATATCACCAATTGGTGTTAGTTTCACCCGCGCATTTTCAAAATAACATATAAACCTACAGGAAAAAGGAGGCTGTAGCAGTATTAGTTCATACTAGCAAGAAGTATGACCTCATGTTAATATATGTGTAAAACTTGGGCACTGTGGTAGTAAATAATTCCATATTAGTTTGTTTATTAGATGTATCACACAGTGATATCACCGTATCACAGTGATGTATCACTGTGTGATACAGCAGGGAGCACGAGATTATTTTTTAAGACAACCAAACGAAGACAAAACAGCTATTTATCTAGTTACCACAGGTTCTTTAACTGATAACAGTTTGTGATCTAACTTTTCTTATTGAAGTCGTAAGTTGTTAACAAAGTAGCTGACACAAGAAAAACATGATCCTTTTTGATTGTGCTCTCGGAAGAGATAAAAGGGGTTGTAAGGAAGACGTATACACCAACTTACGCGCAATTCAATTTGCTCTTCTCTTTCTTGACTACGCATTGTCATATATTCTTTCTCCAATCTACAGATACAAAGAAACACAAACAGATAAAACAATGCGGGGGCTTTAAACTAGTTATAATTAAATGCAAGATGTTTGGTTGATGTGGACCAGTGACAGAATCTAAGACTTACATTCCATCCTATTTGATAATCGTGACTTCTTTGTACTCTCACTCCCAGAAAGTGACGATTTTGGACCTGATACTTGAAGCTAGGACTCATCACTTCAACTGTTGCTATGATATGAGGAAATCATCACACACATAGAAGTACTAATGATGCAGGTACATCCTAGCTGATGAGTCCAATACAGGACGAAACGTGCATCATGAATTCTACCTACTAGACACTAATTATTCAATCTAGACAAGACAAAAAAACAAAAAATGGTTTACAGAAAATTTACTAATTATTCGTTGTATTGTTTTGCATAATCTTGGATATCATAATTGCCCAGAGAAGTTTACAGATATTATTAACTGTTCCATGATGGCATTATTTCACAAGCGACAGAACAATCAATGGAACTTTGAACTAAATGAGGATAACACATAAAGAGCATCAACATCTCCGAATCTAGAAGAGATACTACTTACTGCCTGATGATGACTAATCCACTTTTTTGAAATCGTAACTAAAAGACGCATGAAGGAGATAAATTAAAAACAAATGAAGAGGCAGATCGCTGATTGACACACATTACGCTTACCCTAGCCCTCTCAGCCAATGCAGCTTCACAACCTTATTTTTTGACTTCCACCCCTCCCTGAAAAACCAGTAATCTTCGACTAACTTCAGCATAACTCAGCATAGTGTGACACTTGAGACGAGAGATAGAATTCAAACACCTAGCTGGCCTCTTCTCTTCATAGCTTAATATCCACTTTCAATGGCTATATTTTACACCCATAGAGAAGGACTGAGCTACACCTAGATACCACGTCTAGGCAAAAGAGATGATTTTAGTTGGCAAAAGTCAGAAGAACAGCCTTTTGTATGAGTTCTGAGATTTTATCAGTAACCAGTCAATGAGTGAGGATTGATGCAACTTGACAAATTAGTGCAGTAGTATTAGTGGTCAGCATCCTCAAACATTTCGCTGTGTACCTTTAAACTATGAGCCGGTACACATTAGCTCTGCAGCCTGATCTTAAATTGACAAAGAGGCAAGCCACACGCAAAAATAAAAATTCTTAAGATGTTAAGGTGACTGTTCACAAAATCTACTTTGCTCTCTAGTCAACGTGAAAACAAATAGAACTGGTAGTCCGAAGACGGAGGAGATAGTTGTTATGTAAGTGAAACTAAAGCCTACTAACCAACCCCCACGGACTGAATAAACTATAACATCTCATCACTTCAAATGACGGATGCATAAATGAATATATGGAAGCAGAAAAGACGGAAAAAAGAATTAAATAGTATAAAAGATAAATGGATGAGGATTTAAATCTCATGGGATTGGAGATTTACACACACACACACACACACACACACACACAAATTAAGGCATGCTAATGTATATGTATATGCATACAGTCTACATTTCTGAAAAACAGTTTCATCCGTAGAGGATACAATTCAAATACCGAGAAATCTCACGCGATAGAATCGAAAACCTACACTTAATGTACTACTCGAAAAGAAATCAGAAAAAAGTATTTTTAAGGTTATTCTGACACGACTGGTTACAAAAAAAACAGATTTTTGGATACAGAGAATTCCTTAGGGAACGCAGAGGCTAAGCTTAGAAAACTCTGATTACAAATCGATGATTGAAACATCTAGAAGAGTAAATGGAGCTTTAAAAAATGATTTTGAGTAAATAAGTCACTCAGACAACATGCTGTCTGTAAAATAGTATGAGAGCACGAAGTCCTGAACCACTCATTAGTTTGAGTTATGTAGTGAAGTGTACACGGTCGCTTTGGGATTCACAGAAGACACTGACAGTGAAATGGCTTAAAATTGTTCTCAACAGCGTGAATGCATACACACTTTGTGAACTTATAGATCTGTCAGACCTTTATTATTCCCCCATGTAAGTATTATTTCTGCTGTACATTTTCGTTTAATACAGTTTCTTGGCATTGTTTATCTCCACCTTTATGTGTGCTTTTGTAAATTTGGTGCAACTTGAAGTCCTTCATTTCAGTTAGTCGAAAGGTATTTAACAAAACAAAAGCTTATCATATTTTATCCTACCATTAAAAACGTCGAGTTTTAGGGTTTTCAAATACCAGAAGCTATCGTCAACTTTCGCCAAATGGATCTAGAGGCGGCCAAGCTCGTTCCACCTACTTTAGAATGAGCAGTTGAATAGTATCATGTGACCAGAAACGTGTGGCCCGTAGTCCAGTTCAGGGACTTGGCGACCGCATCACCTAGGATGCTGAAAACTTTTGTCAGCATTTGTCATTACTGCCTGGATACTGGAGAAAGCTAGGAAGGATAAGTAACAAGGACCTTTGGAAGGCAATGAACTAGTCCAGAACCTATTATCCAGCAAATGTGCAGCAAGAAATGGAAATGGACATACGCTGAGAAGACAGTCAAGTGACCTCACACATCATATAGGCCATCGAGTAGAACACTAATGGTAAGCGACAAGTTGGTTGTCTGAGGGTAATATAGAGGAGATCATACAAAGAGACGGGAATAGAAGCTTGTGGGCAGCTATGGAGCTAGAAGAAAGTGAGGACAGAGGACAGAATGGAATAGAAATGTGCCGCGGTAGAAAATTTATGCGGAGCGGTGTGATAATTGATTAGCACACACCCACATACAAATAGGGAAATATAGTTAGCATATACTCACTTTTTCATCTTTTTTGTATTCAGCTTAAATGAACAGGCACTTTCAAATATGACGGAGGAATGTTTATCCCATTCTATTGGTCCTTCATGTTGAAGAAACTGAATAAAAACATAAAAGGTAGAAAGTAGGCGAGTAAACAATAAGAAATAAAATACTATTGTATAACTTAAACTTCCAATAACTGCCGAAAAATTAATGGGTTAATAGGGGGGTGATATATGAAAAAGAAACCCCCGGGAAAGAGCTTACCCCACTACACCTTATTAAGATTCCGTTAGTCAAGAAAATGAAAACATTTTGCACACATATATGACATAAATCCATTTGTACAATACTTCGGAGACATATTTCCTTCAATGCAGCATACCTTAGACACACTATTCAATTACGCAGGTCAATGTCTTTGAGTTGTCACCGGATCATGTCAACATTACGAGGTTTATTCTCTTTTCAAAAATGTATGATATTCGAAAGTGAATAAAGCAAGCGCAGACCTACGAGTTGTCGAAGAAGCGATGAGATTGAACTCAAAAACTTTTGGACGTGATCAAAGTCAAGGCTAATTGAAAGGACAACATGTATCAAACAATATTGGACAGAATGGTAGGAAGGAGTTTCCAGGTTTTCTTCAACCACACAAAATTCATCTTAGTTGTCATGATGATGTTAAAATGGAAAGTTGAGTGTCAATCCACCTATATGATAAAAAGGTAAACATCATCACTGATTAAAGTGGAATTAAGACACATGAACAGAACCCTTAGTCAATAGGCGACAGCAATGGTATTCGGGCGACTGCTTGTTCAATATATGTTGCGATCCAACATATCAACTATTAAGGACGCACGTAGTTCGACGTGCGTCGGTGGCACAGCAACAGAATGCTCGCTAACCACGCAGGTGGTCCAAAGTTCAATCCTCGGTCAATACGCTCCTTTACCTCGTTAAGCCAGTAATAAGACTGGTAAAGAGGGAAGGTTAGGTATGAGGCTAGCAACCCTATCCCGTAAAAATAAATACCAATGCTACCGAAACTTTAAAACTATAGCTTGAAACCCTATGTCCCACTGGGAACGTATACGAATTAAAAACAAAACAGTTCGACAGCGCAGGTACCCTCCACAAGATGAGTCAGAAAAAGGCTAGAGAGGGCATCCTTTATTCAACTGCTAAGCACCATGGACTACATTACACAGTCATCAAATGAGACTAGGTTGTTTTCTAGTTTATTTCCTCATTTTTTTATTCCAATCCTCATTCCTTTAATTTATGACTGCTCTGAGGAATAAGTACATAAAGAGTCCCAAACTACAACGAAACAGCAGTCCACAACTCCTAGGTGGTTTTTAGCAGTTTTCTAACTGATAATACCTTGATAACGTAAAGGGCAGACGGTCCGTGAATCAAACGAATAATGAAATCCACTGACCTTATAAACTTTACTACTAGTTGAATTCTGGATATTAATCAACTTGCTGAACTGTGCAATGGTTAAAATAGAGCAAAACAAAGACAATTCCACTCCATAGAGATGAAACACTAACGGGCTGATTATTTCAGTAACAGGGCATTCATTATTTATTTATACTACGTATAAACAAGCACACACAACAACAATTTTGCAAAACTAAACATTAATATTATTATCTCAATACATTTACTTACCGCTACCATAGATTCCATATCACACCTAAGTAAATTATCTGCAGAGAATTTTAGAATTGATAAGGCCAATTTAAAGATGAATTGAAGACCCTGTGCAGAAAGACAAAGATAAGAATAAATATAGTTATTCAGAAGATAGGAGACCGTCAACTGTTATTTTAGATAATTAATTATACATCTTAGCACACATCCATATAACCACCAACTTCTTCATTGTAGCTATCACCAGGGGGGAAAATTAAGAATCTTTGTGAAAAACCTTGAGGAAGTTGTCTTGGCACATTCGCTATCCGATTCGTCCCTATCAAAGGTGAAATGTAAAGATGAAAAGTGGACTGATCACTTCACTTATTTGGAAAGTTGCATTTGACTGCTGAGGAAATTTCCGCACGAATACAAAGTGCCCGTGTGACCTTCACCGAATTATATCACATTTGACGTGGACGTGATAACCAGTTATCCATCAAAAATGCATAATGCAGAGGCGGTTCCCTCTGTCTTTAGTTATGGCTGTTGGATATGACGAATGAAAAACGAAGATATGAAAGGAATAGCTGACTCTTAACGTAGGTATTTGGATCCTACCGTTTTAAAACGTATAGCGTGATGATTGATACTGAGGTTGTGCATAGTAGTGTTAGATAAGAAAGGAAACCCAACGGATGATATTGTGAAACTACATCGATTGAGATGGCTAAAACACTCATTAACCATACCAAACCATCGTCTTCCTTGGAGAACCATCATAGATGAACTAGAATTCGATTAGAAAGACTTACAGTCGCTCAAATCGAAAGATGGTATCAATCCAAAAAGTGTCTGACTGTTTGACTGAGCCAAGCAGGGGTGAGGGTAGAATTATTGGTTGCGATTCTCGAAACACAAAACACTCATAGTTGGAAACTGTCTGCATTATATCTGCGATTGTTGTGAATGACACCATTTGTAAACTCCCAAATTCACATTATTCTCCGTGTATTTATACTCGTCCTAGCACATTTCCGTTCAGTGTACTTTTTGTGTTTTCTCTTTGTGGATTTATGGGTTTATGACGCCTGTCAGCTTAAAGTAATGCGATTCGGTGTAAATTTTCTACACTGAAACTCAATCAGTCCGTCACCAGGAAACGCTGAAATGATTCTGTACATAGAACTAAGTCCATAATCAAATCACCTAAAACTAGGTAACCTCACCTTGAGCTGCAATCTACGAATGTTTGGCATGCGATTCGCTCCCACCAAATACAACATGATGTTACAGGACTGGACTACACCGACTGGTAGATTAGAAATAGGAAGTGAAGTGGTAGAGCACGTTGACCACTTCACTTATTTGGGAAGTACCATCAGCCAGTGCCAACGGGTTCATCTCTGACGAAATCTCAGCACGGATACAGAGGGCTCGTTTCGCATATTCCAGTTTACGTCGTCTCTGGCGTAGACGTGATATCCGACCGACTATCGACCAAAGGGCGGGTGTACTGCTCATCAGTCCGCTCCGTCCTCCTTTATGGTTGTGAGACCTGGCCACTGAGAGTGGAAGACATGAAAGGATTAGCTAGCCGTCTTTGATCATAGGTGCCTGCATTCTATCTCCCGTGTGAAGTGGCATAATAAGGTGAGCAATATTGAAGTTAGGCGTCGAGTTCTAGGTAAACAGGGGAAATCAATCGACGAGGTTGTGAAGTTACATAGACTGAGATGGTTAGGATATGTGTTACGTATGCCTAGTCATCGCCTCCCTTGACTGACATAGGGTCAGGCTGGAAAAGAGCTAGCGGCGGTCAAACCAAAACATGGCGCTAGTCAATGAAATCTACAACAGTTAGTCTAAGTCACGTAGGAAGGTGTAGACTTCCTGACTGGTTGGGGTCCTCGGGAAGGTGAAAACAAATGGTTGGAAACAATTGGAGACATGGCTCAAAGTGATCGTTCTCAATGGCCGGCTGGTGCAGATGCATCCACTCCTTGTGACTTTGATTTCCAATGAAACTGTTTTGTTCTTCGTTATTACTATTCCTTTGTCTCACACCTCTGTTCTGTCTTTATTATGCTTTTCTTGTACTTTCTTCTCTTGATTTGTGTGATACAAGGAAGGAGTGTGGGGACTTGAACTGTCGTACATATGTGCAAAGTTCTATGTCGGAAACAGATAGACAGACAGGTAACCTCACTGTTTTTTTTATAAATGTGGGGTGCGTGTTTCACAGTTTAGCAGAACCTGCACATGACATGTTCTAAAAGGTAAGCGATTATGTTAACAACCAGTTTACTAAGCTGGAGAAATGGAGAAATACAGACAAAGATAACACACTGAATTGCGGTTAAGAGGTTAGAAACCATTGGCCTACTTATTAGCACTCATCAGGAGAGTCTCAACGCAATCCTGAAAAAAAAACCAATACTGGAAGCTTTGAGTCAATTTAAAGTACATAGAAATAGAAAGTTGCCTATCTTCGTAACCACACTGCAAGATTTGACAGGCAGAATTAAGTTAGCACCATTACCAACGACTAGACATGCATAAGACATTCGTTATTCCCTAGTGAACCCTAATAACATGCAAAATTAGGAATTGCACTCAACTTTAAAACAAAATATAAAGAGAGAATCCTACTTCTCTTAGATAAGAGAGTCATTATCATTAAGCTACAATACTAACACATCTTTGTCACCTACATAAGCGTAGTGCAATCTGGCTAGCAGAGTATCTTAATTTGATTTAATCGCCTGATTGTTATTACTAAAAAGGTGACAAAGCAAGGAAATTATTTGCATTGTAAATTGTTTATATTTTATTTCTACGCCTCTCAACGTGATTGACTCAAACTGACAATCAAAGACTTCATACTTTGTGGTGAAATATTTTCTTATAACTCTTAATCGTCCTAGTCGAAAATATCAGTCAACATGGATTAATATGCGTAACACATGTTCAACTACATACACTGGATCTCCCTCCTTACCTAACCTTTAACGTCTAGGCCAAAGCAGAAAGAACAAGATTTGCAATAAGAAATTTGTACTCAATTCTCCTTTGAGGCTTCTTTTCCAATACAGACAGGCTAAAGTATACGATACTTTTTGAGATTGGGACATACATTTTTACTGATTACAAATGCCCCCTTAACATTTTTCAAAAGAATGGTTACTGAACAAAGAACATTCTTTTCGGTAACCTGCACTTCATCAGGTTCTATAATTATGAATATATAAATTGCCAAGATCATCCAGGTACACCATATCCCAAAACAGCAAAGACTATCACGATTCACCTCAAACAACTGGTGCTCTCTATACAGAAGAAGCAAGTCCAGCTAGTCACTACTACTGCCCTAGCCGGCCTTCAGTGCAGACTATAAATTAATGAATTAGTATTGTTATCTTTCCTAATTTTTTCTGATATTCAGTGTATTGTTGAGTTGATGCTATTGAACTGTAATCCACTGACATTATTTTCATTGATTCGATGTTATATAAACAACATGAATGTTGTTAACAACACTAATTCATTCGCTATTATGGATAGATACATAACTGTAGAACCTGATGAAGAACAAGTTATCGAAAAGAATATTCTCTGTTCAGTAACCATTCTTTTGAAAAACCATACATTTTCATTCCCACTGACCAGAAGGAAGTTAGACACGAAGACATTACTTTAAGGAAATGGCTACTAAGTGAAATGTGATAGCATAATCACTCACACAAAAGGAAAGTAGTTATGTATAATACGTTTTAAAGAAGACTCGACAGATATTGCTAAATTACTTAACAACGGAACACCAAATTAATTAGCAACAACATACACCATATACATAATGAAGAAAATGCCCACTTATACTCTGTGAGAAGTTAAAATAGTGGAAAAAACCAGCTACATAAGCGAAACTGTAGCAAGTTGTTGAAGTTAAGAAGTAGCTCACTTAGAACAGTAACTTCGTGGACAAAACTTCGGTGTCTCAAGAGATTAATACTGAGTCAGAGCCTTAAGGAAACACAGTCTTCCACTGAAGATGGAGGCACATCAAGCTGACGAGTCCCAAATAAGACGAAATGTGCATCTTGGATTCCAATGCTAACCATCATCAACTAGAGACCTGATTCCAAATTTATACGTCCCCATATATATATATATATATATATATATATATATATATATATATCAACATTAGTGTGTTTTCGTTCATAAGCATGTCAAAAACAAGTTTTAACTCAGATGTGAGAACAACACTACTAGTGATTGATTTGAAATGAAAAATGACTACATAAGTAAAAATGAAATTGACTAGTTAGTCAGATAATAGAGAAGGTTTGTAGCTCAGGTGAATGATTTGTAATTATTAGTGTTCTCTGAGCTGGTTGGTTTAGTTGCGGAGTTTTCATTGTCCCTCTGTACAACATCCCCTTTCAACGCAATATTTAGCATATTATTTATTATTTTAACTCAGTTACATGCAGCGCAGGTGTCTTTCATGTACGCGGATAAGAGGCATATTTGTCGTCTGAAGGCTGATAATGGATACTGCCAACTCACACTGAAGTAGTAGTTGTAGTGGGACTCCAAACTGTGAACCGTTTCATTGGTTGAAAATCGACTGTTGAAGCCAGTGAGTCATTTCCACTCTAACGAAACAGATAGTGAAATTTTATAAAACTAAAAAGGTGGTTCATGTGTGTGTGTGTGTTTGTTTGGTTAGATTTTTTTGATCGTCAATGAATTAAGTCTTGACACAGAATGATTTTGCCGTGGAGTGTGTATGTGGAGTCTTTCTCAAAGGTATTTTATGTGTACTGGTGACCTGTAGTATATGTGAGGTTTGAAGTGAGACGGATTGTTCATTGAAGAAATGGCTCTGATGTTCACGGTATATAAAGATGTTTGATTAAATATTTTACTTGAGTCAGATTTATTAGCCCAATAAATGTACTCTCATCATAATGGTTTTTCAGTTTTCGATATGAATTGCTGGAGTGCCAAGAAAAAAAAAGGAAACAATTAAGTTTTATCGTACGCTTAACGTATTTCGCTGAATAAATGAAAAGCTATTCCTCAAAATAATTTATACGCATTGCCCTTAACTGACTTGG